CTGTCCTTTGCCAAGCATCTCTCTCTCTCTCTCTCTCTCTCTCAGAAATGACCCTTCCTTGCTTCTGCTGGGCAGCTCATAGGTTTCAGGGGCCCCCCCATTTCCTGTTGCCTGGCTGGTGGGTACATGGGGCTGGGGAAAGCCTTCTTTATTTGCAGTCTGTTCTTCCCCCCACAGCGCTGCAGCTCCCAGCAATGAAAGTCAAGCCCGGGCTGCAAAAGTTCAAAGCCCACCCAGAAGACCACCCAGACATTGCCTCCTCTCCCAGCTCAGGGGTTTTCGGGAGCCACACCCTCCGGCTTGGCCAGTCAGGGCCTTTTACCCCAAATGCTTCGGGAAATCCCGGCCTGGCGGTCCTTACCCGGAAGTGGTCGTTCTTTTCCCGGTCCAGCATAGTGTTGAGGTAGACTTTCCCGGTGAGCTTGTCGATGGAGAAGACCCCCCAGGGCTCCTCGTCCACGCCGGGCCCCTTGATGCTGTAGATGACCCCCCCGGGCTGCTGCTTGTCAGATTTAATCTGCAAAGGAAGACCAGCCTTGCAAGGCGGGAAGGGCTGGCAGCTGACCGGCAGGATGTCGGTGCTTCGCGCCCTCTTCCCAGACACAACGGAGAGGTCCACCAACCTTGTCACGCACTCCGATGGCCCTGGAATGTGTGGGCCCGGCAGGGGATGGGGAGGGGGCCCAAGGAGGACACACCCAGCGATCCACAAGGCCACGTGTGGTGGAGCACTGGCACATGCAAACAAGGGGTGCCCCTGCATGGGCACTGGCTGATGCACCTGTGCCTGTGCCTGCAGGATGACGGGCACACGAGGGAGTATATCAGCACTGATGCCACCATAACCAAGGTGGGCGTGTTGGTGAGCTGCTGGTTGTAGTGTTGGCAGATTGTGCCTTGGCATGGGGGGGGGGAGTTTGAATTTATTTTTACGCTGCTCTGTCTCGAAGGGCAGCGGATTCCTGCCTGCTGTGTGTCTGTGGGGGGGTCATAAGGACGGAGGGGGGGAAGCACGCAGGCCTGGCTCAGGTGCCGAAGGAAGCCTCTTGCGTGGGATCTCTGCCTTGGAAATCGACGGCCTGATCCTCCGTGCCAGGGAAGGACCGGCAGGCGACAGCGCAGCGCCAGGAGCAGAGAGCTGCCCCCGCAGTCCCCACTGCCCCTCCGCTGTTGGGCCTCGCAGCTGCAGTGCCACGTGCCGTGCCCTGCCAGGGCCATACCTGCACCAGAAGGTGAGGGATCCGCTTGTGGTTCTCGGACACGCTGATGGGCGGGATCACCCAGGCCCGCTTCACCCTTCCCGCTCCGGCCTGCGGCTGCCACAGGTGCAGGACCGGGGCAGCAGGAACGGCCCCCACAGAGCAGCTGACATCCTGCCAAGAGAAGAAGAAGAAGAAGAAACCGTCTCAGTGCCGCCCACTCCGTGCCTGAGGGACATCCGCTCTTTTGCCCTCTGCCAGCTGATGCCAGTCCCCTGCTCGCCCTGGCCAGGCAACTCCTGAGACACGCGCCTTCCGATTGGCTAGAGAAAGGCACGTGACACAGCCTCCCACCCCCCTAACACCTTTGTCCTCCCAGGGAGGACGGCTGGAACTCCAGGCCCGGTGGCAGGCGCGGCTGCTGACCCGACATCCACCTATGGATGGGGAAATCCTCAGAGATTTTGTGGGTGGAGCCTGGGGAGGGCAGGGTTTCAGAGGGGAAGGAGCTGGGTGGGGGGCAAGGCCACAGAGCCCTCCCTCCCAAGCAGCCATTGGCTCCAGAGCAGCTGATCTCTGTCACTCGGAGATCTACAGGCCCCGCCTGGAGGTTGGCAAGCCCTATGTCTACTCCCACTCCTGGTCTCATGGGCTGTGCCGCAGACTGCGGCAGAATATGCACTCTGCGATGTTCCCCCCAAGGGGCAGCACCCCGACCAAGCTCCTTCTGGGCCTCAATGTTCTCGCCACCCGTCAGGCCGAGCGAGGGGCAGGGGTTCTCCAAAAGAGCGTGTCCTTTTCACTCACAGACCCATTTGCACTCCGCCATAACTGTAGCCACCAACGTTTGCTGGGCCCTCAGATGATCTTACTGCAATTCCGCTTTCGGCGTGGCATTCATTTGGCCCTCTCTGGCTGCCCAGCCTGTGATGCCCTCCGTGCCTGCCCCCCCCACCGCCCTCCCCTTTCTTCTCCCCCAGGGGCCCCCCGCCTGGCCTTCCTTCTCGGGCCCCCAGAAGGCCAAATGTGGCAGGTGTGGCAAATTCCTCTCTGGTAACACAAGACTTTTTTGTGGCCGGAGCAGCTGCGCGGGGAGGGGGGGCTGGGCAGGGTTTGGGAGAAATGACGGGAAAGGGCAATATCCTGCTCTGTTACTGCTGAGCACAAAAAGGAGACAGCTTTATGCTGGGGGGGGGGGCGGCACAACTGTGTCTCAGCTGACCAATGACCAGTGGGGAGCCTGTTTTGTGGGGACGCTGGGAGAAGAGGCCTCGGTTTGCACAGAGAACAGGATCGCATGGTGACCTGAGAGGCGCAAGTCACATGGATGGACCCTGGCCAGGGCTGCCGGTGGAGGTCTTGTCTAGCGCATTCCATCGGGACTCTTGTCTCCTCTGCCACAATAGACTCCCCCAAGCCCCCCACCCTTCCCCTGCCCTGCCAGGGTGTGGAGGCCGACCAAACCTGGCAGTTATAAAAAGAAAGCCAACTGTGGGGCAGAAATGTGCTTCTCTGCCTTCCCCCCACAACAGCTGCAGGGGGGCTGTGGGATTTCTGGCCCCCTCAGTCTCTCAAGGCCCAGGTCCTGGCCTGGCTTTTGGCACCGGCCCGGAGGGGCTGTCTTGAGCTCCCACGGAGGGGCGGGGAGACGCATCCTGCTGCTGCTCCATCTTCCCAGGCAAGGTCTATTTTTGTTTCTGCTTGGGAAAAAATGATGCCGAAGCCTCCTTCCCCCACATTCCTGGGCTCTTTCTCTGGAAGAGGTCCCTGGGGTTCAGTTTTTGGACGGCTCCACTGGACAGCTCTCTCTCTCTCTCTCTCCTGTAGCGCCCACTCTGTGTTCCCTGCAGAGGCCAAGCTGAGCTGAGCCCCGGCACCTCTCCCTCGGAGACGCAGCCCCTCCTTGGCTGGGCAGGCCGGAATTGCAGGCCTGGCGGGCCCTTCCCAGCAGGCCAAGGAGCTGCACGACGTCCAGCGGCACCCTGAACACAATCTCTCTCTCATGTGTGTGTCTGTCTGTCTATCATCTGTCATCAGCTAAAATGATGAAACTGAGACTCTTGTACTTTGGTCACACGATGAGAAGAGAAGAGTTACTAAGAAAGTTAATAATGCTAGGGAAAGTGGAAGGCAGCAGGAAAAGAGGAAGGCCCAACAGGAGATGGATGGACCCATGAGGGCCCTCTCTTTGCAACGGCTGAGCCAGGCGGTCAACGAGAGGGCATTTTAGAGGACCTTAATTCATAGGGGGACCATAAGTTGGAAGCTACCTGACAGCACAACACCATCCATCCATCCAGAGACAGAGCCAGTTTGGTGTTGTGGTTAGGAGCGGGGACTCTAATCTGGGAGAACCGGGTTAGATTCCCCCCTCCGCCACATGCAGCTGCTGGTGTGACCTTGGGTCACTTACAAGTCCTTTCTGAGCTGTTCTCTCAAGGGCAGTTCTCAGGAGAGCTCTCTCAGCCCCACCTGCCTCACAGGTTGTCTGTTGTGGGGAGGGGAAGGGAAAGGAGTTTGTAAACTGCTCTGAGACTCCTTCGGATAGTGAAGGGCCATGGGGTATACATCCAATCTCCTCCTCTCCTCTTCATGCTTCAAGGCAGCTTACAATTCTAGTTAAAAAAAATTCAGTCAAAAAAATAAAATAAAATAGGAAGACCCAAATCTTTCCCCCTCTCCCCCTTTAAAAGACGCCTGCCGTTCAACGCCAACACCGCCTCCTCCCCCAAGCCCAGGCAAACCACATTGATTCCAGTCTGGGCACTGGGGAATAAGAGTGCTTAATGTCTAACTGGACTTCTGTTATCTTTTGCTACCAAAGACGAATGTGGCTGGCCCACGAGGATTATCCAGGGCACTTCAGCCTGCAGCTGTCCACGGGGGATTTGTTCTTTTGTTCACAGAAGATGCCTTTGGAGCCAGCAAGAATGTGTGTGTGTGTGTACCCCCCCTTCCCCTCACCCTGAAATGGAACCCAGCCCAGCCTCAGATTCCACAGTAGCAGGTGGCCAAACGTGGACATGCATGCTCAACCTCCACCATAATCATTCCTCCCCCCCCCCCCCCGAAAAAAAAACCCCAAACACCCCCCCCCCGTAAGAGGATACCTTCTTGTTCAGCTCAGGCAAACCAAGAGGCCCCATCGGCCTGGCCTACAAATGGTGTGGGGGGTGGGGGTGGCAAAGCCGGATGGAAGCTCACTGCTGCTGGGAACCTGGGGATGTGGAGAGGCCCTCTGCCCTCCACCAGCTGTGGCACTGGCATTGCAAAAGGAACCCACCAGGCCAGAGCCTTTGCCAGCCTGGAGACTGGAGGACCCGTGGAGCTGCCTTCTACTGAACGAGACCCCCCCACCCCCCCACCCCGGTCCATCCAGGTCTGTGTTGTCTGCTCAGACCGGCAGGTGCTCTCCAGGGTCTCCGCTAGGGTTGCCAGCTCCGGGCTGGGAAATACCTGGAGATTCTGGGGGGGTGGAGCCTGAGGAGGGGGGGGCTTGGGAGGGGCCTCAGCAGGGGTGATGTCATCACGTCTGCCTCGCAAAGCAGCCGTTTTCTCCAGGGGAACTGATCTCAGTCGCCTGGAGACCCGTTGTAACAGTGGGAGGCTGGCAACCCAGAGGTCTTCCCTATCACCCACCACCAGTGTTCCCTCTAAGCTGAGTGAGCGTGAGCTAGCTCATGGTTTTCTAGCCTCTGACTCACACATTTTGTCTTGGGCTCCAGAGCAAACTCATTGATGCAGCAGCCCAATCATGACTTTAATGCCAGTGGCTCACCCAACAGGATTTTTGCTCACAAGACTCCACAGCCGAGAGGGAGCCTTGCCCACCACCCGATCCTTTGAGCTGGAGATGTCAGGGATTGAGCCTGGGTCTCCTGCATCAGGCCCTGGGTCCTGCAGAGCCTCAGCACCGTCTGCTCAGGCTGGCGGGGGCTCTCCGGATTCTCAGGCCCTGGCCTTTCCCAGCACCTTCTCTGTCTGTTATTTTAGGTTCCAGCTGGAGATGCCAGCGGGGCTTCAGCCGGGGGCCTTCCGCATGCCAAGCAGACGCTCTGCCACTGAGCCACGGCCCCTCCCCAGAAGCCGGACGGGAGGCCTGGGCAGGCACCACCGTGGGAGCCGAGCAGGTTGAGAAGCCAAGCCGTGCCTCATCCTCATGCACGTGGCTCACCTCACCCCCCTCATCGGCCCCTCACCCCCCAGTTGCAAGCAGTGCTCCCTCTAAGCTGTTAGTGTGAGCCAGCTCACAGTTTCTTAGCCTCCGGCTCACACATTTTCGTCCTAGCTCAGGAGGGAGGGCTCCAGAGGAAACTGATTTATGTAGGAGCCAAACTGCTCGCTCACAAAGTAGAATTTTTGATCACAAGACTACCCAGCTTAGAGGGAGCATCGGTTGCAACCAGAGAAGCGTAGCACGGGTGCGGTTAATGCGAGCCACCTGGACCTGACATGGTCCTCTCCAGGCCAGTGGGCGGGCTTGAGGTGGGAGGAGGGCCGCTCCTTGGAGTTCTGTGCTGCTGGTGCGGGGGGGGGGGCCTCATGGGGCAGCTGGCGGGCCTTTTCCTCTGGGCCCTGCAGCCTCCTCTGAGGAGGGCTGCTGCCTGGGGAAGACCCAGCGCTCCCAGGCCCAGAGGAGCAAAGCGACCAGTCCCGGAGAGAAGCACCCAAGAAGCAGGGGGAGTACACAGGTACAAAAAATGCTGGCGTAAAACATTCAAACTAATAAGAGATTCCAGGGATAGAACTACCTTTGTCACCAGAAGTGGCATTATGAGATATGCTTCCAGATAGTTATGGCAAGGAAAATAAGTATCTAATAATCTATCCTTTAACTGCGGCAAGAATATTACTAGCTAAAAGGTTGGAAAGGAGAAAAAAATTCCCTCAAAGGAAGAATTGATAGAAAAGTGTTGTCACTGGCAGAAATGGATAGGTTAAGCCTATTTTTACAGGGGAAAGAATAGGATTTATTTTTAAAAAGATGGGAGAAGCTGTATGGGTGGCTGGAAAAGACAATGTAAAAAATATTGACTTGCACATATATATATACACACACACACAGGGCTATTTTTGGGCAGGAACGCACAGGAACGGAGTTCCGGCTGGCTCCCAAGTTGGCCACGCCCAGCAGGAACTCATTAGCATAATAGGCCACACCCAACAGCAGAAACTCATTAGGATTGGCTGCATTAGGGGTGTGTGGCCTAAAATGCAAAGGAGGTCCTGCTACAAAAAAAGCCCTGAGTTTTGACAACAAACAAGGTAAACAGAATAAGAATCAAAAGGTGGGTGTGGCTGGATGAGCACACTTCTGGCAACACGGGGCTGCGGCCTAATATGCTAATGAGCTGTGGTGTCAGGGTGTGGCCTAATATGCTAATGCGTTTCAGCTGTTATGCTAATTAGTTCCTGCTGGGCTTTTTTTTAAAAAAGCCCTGTATATGATATACTTATGTGACATGTATACAATGTTATAAATAATAAATAGAAAATTTAAAAAGAAACGGGGGGAGGGATGACCCCGTCTCAAAGTCCCGCTCCCCACGGCTCAAGGGCAGATAGCTAGACCCCCCCTCACTGTCCCTATGTCTGCTCCCCTAGGGTTGCCACGTCCAGGTGGGGAATTCCTGGAGATTTGGGGGCAGGGACTGGGGGGAGGAGAGGGACTTCAGAGGGGTCTAATGTTGCAGAATGTGCCTCCCAAGGGGGTCTGTTTTCTCCAGGGAACTGATCTCTGCCGTCCGGAGATCAGTCTTGACTCTGGGAGATCCCCAGGCCACACCTGGGGGCTGTCAAACCAAATATACACGCCGTGAAAAATGACGAAAATTACAAATTATATAAACAATTGAATGTATGCAAAGCAACCAATACCTCAGTTTCTATGTACCAACAATTCAAGTCTTTTAGTGTCCCTTATAGACGACTGATACAGTCACATCCGTTCATTCAACAGGTGAACTCCAGGTAGTTCAGCCATCAAATGCCCTGGCTATGATTTGACCTTGTTGAAAACGGGAAGCGACGGAGGTGGTCAGCTGACTTTATCTTCCGTTCTGAGCTTCCACAAAGCTCACAAACATGACTCCGGCAGGCCAGCTAGAAAGCCTGTTTCTCCAGCCACCAGCTTCTTCATGGGAAATCGTGAAACGCAAGCCTCAAAGATCCATCCCATCAAGGGTGGGCGGTCAATCGTGTTGGGCGGTTAGTCAGAGGTCTCCTTGCACCTTAACAGAGATATTCATCCCACCCCTCTTGCAAATACAGGAAACGAGGTACAAACGGTCTTTTGACTCCGCAGGGCCCTTGTAAATTGGGGCACAATGTGGTCGAAGCCACCGCCCCCCCCCCATCCAAGCTGCTCCTACCAGAAATGTACTTACAACCTTTCAAGGGGTCTCACGCAAAAGCCTGCAGAGCTTCCATCACACGGTGCACCTCCCCAAATATGTGCTCATGCATAAGCCAGACGTTTCTGCTAATGCAACACAACAGGGGCTCAGCAGACCGTAGGGTCTGTACAGGCATTGCAGGAAAACGCAGGATTCACACACGTGCCCATGTAAGTGGTTGGGACAAGCACAGCGTTTGCAGGAGGAATCCATGGGAACCTCACTCTTAGAAAGCCTAGTTTTAATTATGGTTTTAATTATGTTTTATATTGGCGTTTGCCCCTATGTAAGCCACCCTGAGCCCGCATTGCGGGGAGGGCGGGGTATAAATGGAATTAAATAAATAAATAAATAAATAAGATGCTGAGATAAGAAGCCCACCTAGGTGTGGATGGGAAAGGATGTGTACTTTTCACATGCTCAGAGGTACCTCTGGCTTTATTATTGCAAGGCTAAGTCTTGGTTTTGGAGACAGGGTCTCTGGAGCTAAGCCAGGGAGACACATGAAGCCACCTCCTACTGAATCCGACCACTGGTTCATCACAGGTCTGTATTTCCTACTCAGACTGGCAGCAGCTCTCCTCTCAGACCACCCGAGGACCCGAGCCTTTTGCCTGGAGATGCCAGGGATTGAACCGGGGACCTCCTGCGGCTGAGCCACAGCCATGAAGATACCTTGCCTCAAAAATAAGCTTTGTGAGGAGGAGTGAGGAGGAGGAAGGGAAGGCAGAAGAAACCTCTCTGAACAGCAGGCAAAGTGACTTGCTCGAAACTGCTTCCTTCCTACTGAAGCCAGTGGCAAAGTGACTTGCGAGATTGTGGATGCCGCACTGAAACTCCAGAAGGGGGTTTTTTTTTGGCAGGGAAAGGGTGAGTCGCTGGACCCCCACAATCCCGTCTCTCGTCAGGGCAGGGTCTGGCGCTCTGAGGAAAGGAGAAGGAAGCCCCGTCCCGTCCCGCCACCCTGAGGGCCCCACTGCCTCCGTGCCCCCTTACCTGTGCCCACAGCATTGCCAGGAGCAAAGTGGCAAGAGAGGAAGGGGCGCCCATCTTGGCCGGCTGGTGGTGTCTGGTGCCTCGGGCAGGTCTCTGAGCTGGGCAGCCGTTGTCCCCTCCTTCCCACACGCAGAGCGCCTCTGCTCCTCTGGACGGAGCTCAACTCCCGGAGGAGGAGGAGGCCCAGCTCTGACAGACAGCACATGTGTTGGGGCTCCGCGAGGGCCTGGGAGAGGAACGCCGGATGGGGGGGGGGTTGCCTGGAAGCCACGAGGCCCACCAAGCTCCCCTGCCCACACAGCCCCCCCTTGGGGGAGGAGAACGGCTTGGCCAGCCCCCAGAGAATCACCCCCAACCAATGTTCCCCCTAAACTGTGGAGTCCTGTGAGCAAAAATTCCACTTTGTGAGCTACTGGCATTAAAAGTTGTGAGCGAGCGATTTGGCTCCTGCATAAATTAGTCTGCTCTGGAGCCCTCCTTCCTGAGGTAAGACAAAAATGTGTGAGCCGGAGGCTAGAAAACTGTGAGCTAGCTCACACTGACTCAGCTTAGAGGGAACACTGCCCCCAACCCACCCTGCCCCCCCATTTCTGGCAGCTCCCCACACCGGGACACAGAGAGGGGGCCAAAGCTTCTCCTCAGGCGGGGAGATTCCTGGAGATTTGTGAGGGGCGTCTGGGAACAGGACTGGGCAGGTGAGGGACATTGGGGGTGTCGAATGCCACGGAGGCCGCCTCCCAACAGGCCTGTTTTCTCCAGGGGAGCTGTCGTCTGGAGAGCAGTTATAATTCCGGGAGAGCTCCAGGCCCCACCTGGAGGCTGGCAACCCTATCTCTGCCGCTTCCCTCCGCTGGTTGCTCCTTCTCAGTGGGCCAGACGGTGAGCGGCTTCCTTGGCCAGGGGCAGGAAAGAAGACCGGAGTCAAGATGCAGGAGTGGGTGGGGGGGGGGGGGGGAACGGGAGACGCTGGCGGCGCGGATGCCTGTGTCGATCCCCCCTCCGCAATCACAGGGCCGGAAGGAGCCCCCCACTGGCGAAATGACCACCTCCTTCCAAGCAGGTCAGAGCAGGAGCCAGAAGTTCCCAGGTGAGGAAGTCTGACCCGGGCGCCTGGCCAGGGCACACCTGCTTCACCTCACGGGCCGCAGGCACCTCCGGGTCGTTTTGTGGGCCTCTGGCAGGACAGGAGAGACCCCCAAGTCCCGAGCTGGCTGGGGGGGCCATTCTGGACTGAGCCCCCAGCCGACCAGGGCCGGCCTGTTCCCTGGGCCCCTTTGTGAGCTGCTGGACACCTCTGGGGTTCCAGTCGGGTGGTTTCCGATCAGGCCCGTAGCGACAGTGGGGCATTTGGGGGCCTGGCCCCCTGGCTTCCATCTACCCCAGCCACCCTGCTGCCCTCGCCACCCCTTCCCCAAGCGTGGCTTTCTCCCCCACCCCATCGCTGTTCCTGCATGGAGGCCTCCATGGATGAGTGGCTGCCTGCCTGCCACAACCCTCTCTGGCCTTCTTGCTGGACATCCCTGATGCAGCCAAGCGCAGAAAGGAGGCAGGGTGGGTGGCAGGCCAGAGATGTTGTGGCTCTGGGCGGGGCTGCACCGGGGCAGGGAGAAGGCCTGGTTTGCCTTTGCAGAGCCTTGGAGCATGACCAGCCTCTCCCTCCCTCCCTGCTTGCAACCCACAGGCCTGTCAGTCTGGGATGCCTTGGAACAGCTGCTGGCAGGAATCCCGCCAGAAGCAAGGAGGAGCGTTCCCCCCCCCAGGGTGTCTGAGGAGGGGGGGGCCCACGCAGAGCTCAGCCAGGTCTGTTGCCTGCTGGGTGGCGACCTCAAGAGGCCCCCTCTCCACCTCTTGCTGCCCAATGAGTGGAAAAACCCACCGAGTGGGAGCAGTGTTTGTTTTGGCCACCAGCCTCCCCCCCACACCTCTCCCACTTGGCTCTCTCTCTGCCCCTGAATCTGGACTCTCAGCCACAAACAGAGACACCTGGTCAGGTTGACGGAGGGCTTCCTTCCACACCCTGAGCCCTTTTGCGCCGTGGGATTAAAAATTTTTTTTTAATTGTTTGCTCTTTCATTCTGCCCCTGCATTCTCGGCTACTGTTCTTCAGGCAGCTTTTCTGCAATCAAAGTGAGATGGAATCTGCACCTAATACAGCGCTCTGTTCCCCACAATGTGGCCCACGGGCAAGATCCCTCTGCTGTGTTTACGTAGAGAGGAAGTCCGTTTCTTTCAGAGAAGGTCTCCCCCCCCCCCAACTGTCCTTTTAAATGTTGGCACCTCCTCCTTTGGTTTCAGAGCACAGCTGTGTGCACTGCTGGTTCTCCACGGGTAATTAATTACTCCCTTTAGCACGGTGACCCTGTGCATTCCTGAACAAATTCCTTTTCAGGGAGGGGAGGGGAAAGGAGCCAGTATTTGCCACTTTCACCTTGGCAGCCAAAGTGCCTGCTCGTTATTTTTTTTTCCCCTGGGTTGTAATTTTTAAATGTGCAGTTAGGAAAATAAAATGTAAAAGTAATGGACAATGGCTTTTTGCTGCAATGAGAAAAGCAGTAATCAAAGCTTTGGGATAATTGATTAAAGATGCATTCAGGAATTGGGCTGAAAAGCAAAAGAGGAGGAGGAGGAGATTGGATTTATACCCCGCCCTTCACTACCCGAAGGAGTCTCAGAGCGGCTTACAAACTTCTTTCCCTTCCCCTCCCCACAACAGACACCCCGTGAGGGAGGTGGGGCTGAGAGAGCTCTTGACAGAAACTGCTCTTTTTTCAAGAACAGCTCTTATCAGAACTACGACTTGCCCAAGGTCATCCAGCCAGGTGCAAGTGGAGGAGTGGGGAATCAAACCCGGTTCTCCCAGATTAGGGTCTGCACACTTAACCACTACACCAAACTGGCTCCTGTGGCTGTGGCCCACGGCTGCCACAGGAAGTGGTGGTGGCTACAAGCATGGACGGCTTCAAAAGGGAATTAGATAAGCATATGGAGCAGAGGTCCATCAGTGGCTATTAGCCACAAGGTATAGATAGGGACTCTGGGACAAGTGATGCTCTGTCACCTTGGTGCAGGGGGGGGCAAGAGTGGGAGGGCTCCTGGTGTCCTGGCCCCACTGGTGGACCTCCTGATGGCACCTGGGATTTTTGGCCACTGTGTGATACAGAGTGTTGGACTGGATGGGCCTTTGGCCTGATCCAACATTGGTGTCTCTTATGTTCTTAAGAGAGGGAAGGAAGAAAATTTAAAAGGACAGAAGTACTTAACTTGTGGACAGGCTGCTTTCATACAGTGATAAATCTCTGTGTCATTTTCATTGTTGCTGCAAATGGCTTTAAAACTATGACTGCATTTTAAATGTGAGGAGAACCACCACAAAGCAAGTCTATACACAAATGCCAGGATGCAATAATTTGACAATGGAATCATCTAGATTACCCATGAAATCTGAATGAAATGTTTCCAAATTGATACATGTAAAGGTAAAGGTTTCCCTTGCTCGAGAGCCAGCCGAATCCGACTCTAGGGGGCGGTGCTCATCTCCGTTTCCAAACCAAAGAGCCAGCGCTGTCTGAAGAAGAAGAAGAAGAAGAAGAAGAAGAAGAGATTGGATTTATACCCCGCCCGTCACTTGGAGTCTCAGAGCGGCTTACAAACTCCTTTCCCTCCCTCTCCCCACAACAGACACCCTGTGAGGTAGGTGGGGCTCCATGCAGGAAATCCCAGATCAGGGGCTGGGGAAGGAGGAGAAGGAGAAGTTGTGATGTTCCTCACCCTCTGAAGAAGCCTCCAGCAGTCATAGATGACTCTCAGGTGACATTGCTGATAAAGAGTGCATCAGTTCGCCTTTGGTTGAGGGACTATCATGGGCTATCAAGGAGAGCTGGTTTGGTGTAGCGGTTAGGAGCGCAGACTCTAATCTGGGAGAACTGGGTTTGATTCTCCACTCCTCCTCCACTTGCAGCTGCTGACCTTAGGTCAGTCACAAGTTCTCTCAGAGCTGTTCTCTCAAAGGCAGTCCTCGAAAGAGGTCTCTCTGCCCCGCCTACCTCACAGGGTGTCTGTTGTGGGGAGGGGAAGGAGATTGTAAGCTGCTCTGAGACTCCAAGTGAAGGGCAGGGTAGAAATCCAATCTCATCTTCTCTTCTTCTCTCTTCTTATGGGAATAAGCGCTCTGCGGAGGGAGGAGATGGAAAAAGAAGCCCTTGAAAAAGCACCGAGAGAGCAACTTGGCAGCAGGGGGATGCTGTTCCCATGGGCCAGGGAGGGTGGAGAGCAGAGACCCGTCCTCGAAAGGGCCGGCTGGCCAATCTCCGCCCGCGCAGGAGCAGGGCTGATTCTGGGGGACCACCAATGGTGTGTTCCAGGCAATGCTCTGCAGTGGTGCAAAGGTGTCCCAGCCAGCCAGCGCCTGGATGGAAGCTCTGTCCAGGGGTCCCAGCCTGAGGAGCCGGCCTGGTTATTACAGCAGGGGTCCCAGGCTGACGACAGAAGCAGACCCTCATCCTGTCTTCCGGCCTCCCTTCCCTCTTCCATGGGACTGGCAACCCGACCTGGTGGTCCTCTCTGGGCCTGCCCTCCACAGCGAGCAGCTGGCACGAGGGCTGCGGAGTGGTCTTGCAGAATCCCAGATGCCTAGAGCCACAAACGTTCTTCCCGCTGATGAAAGGAAGCGGCACGATGAGGAAGTCAGTCGTGCAAACCCAGGGCAACCAGCCAGAGACGGTGTGTGTGTGTTACTGCTCCCAGAGAGAGATCTGAGGCTGTGCGTTCCACCAACACTGTGCAAAATCTGTGAGTTCACTGCAGGCCAACAAGTTTTCTCCCAAGCAGCAGCAGCAGCAGCAGCAGCAACCTCCTCAAAGGGGCTCCTGGCACAGCTGCCCCCCTCCCCGCCCTTCTGGTACACCCCCGCCATTGCAGACGTGCCCCTGGCTCCAAGGCAGAACTGGTTGTGAGAGCCATACTTGCCTGAAGACGTGGCTTGCTGGAGGAAGCCACAAACAAGAACGAAATCGGAGTAATGCCTTTTGCCAGGACAAGCCAAATTGACAGGAAATACTGTGCAAAGTTTCAAGCTCACCAGAACTCTTTGTCGGGCTAAAGGTCACGTCCAATCTTTAGGAGTTTTGTTTAGGGCT